CTGATTACAGTGCTAGTAAAAGTTCTGAGCTACCATACATTCAACTGCTAATACAGTTTGATGATGTTGGGTCTGATGACAGACTGTCTTATGCTCTACCTATTGAAGGCATACAGACATTATCAAAATGGACTATTGAAGTATCTAAGAATGATTTATTATCACACTCTCCATTAAGTAATAATTATTTTGATAGTACATTTATTATTATTATTATTATTATTATTATTATTAGGTTCATCACCTGTTGCTGCTACTTCAAGCAGAAGGTAAAGCTAACAATGTGAACATAATGTAATGTATTTTAATTAGGTACTGATATCAAGTCTATCACTGACAGATTATTAGCAGTTTTAAGAAATAAACAAGTTGTACTCAGTGAAGTATTTGAAGATTCTCTTCCTGACATTGCCTTAGAACTGAGTGCAGCTAATAATTATCATTACTCACTCAGTTAGGAAGAATCCCTGTTATAACTCCATTATTGGGAATTTCATCACTGGACTAAAAATGAAATCCACTATTGCTGAACTTGAAGTACACTGTATCGATTTTCTTGAAGCTCTTTCAAACATTGGGGGTCCAGTGACTGGAGCTGCTGACATGCTGAGGAGGAAATGGACAGAAGAGACAAATCTGCAGCTTGACAGTAAAATTAGAGTCAATTAAGGATAATAATTTGTATGGCTTTCTTTATTATTATTATTTATTATCATAAGCTCTCTTCTCATTAATAATTGATGATGGTTCATAGCTATAGTAGATCTAACTCATCCTATTTTTGAAAAAAATTATTTTCATACTTTTGATTTTTGGCCAACTGAAGCAAGAATTTATTATTAAAATAGATCTAGGGCACTAGTGCGGAAAAATATTTATAAAGTAGATCTATTAAAAAAACAATGGCTTCTTCGTTTCAAGGTTGGTAGATATTTTACTCCCTCCCTCCCTGTACCCTCTTTCTTTCTCTCATTCTTATTTTTTGTTACAGGTATTGGTGAGATATTTGAACATTTAGCTCCTGTAGTAGGAGAATCTCTCTTTGTATGGGGAGGGTCCAGGCCCATCTATCCTGAAGTACATGAATCTCCTCAAAAGAGGAAGTTGTGCTCCTCCATTGATAGACTTGATTTTATGACTGGTCGTTGGTCCTCTCACGTGACCAGTGGAACTTCACCTCCTCTAGGACCTCAAGGATACTTCTGTACCGTCAGAAACAATGACATCTTTTATATGGGTGGTTATTGTGGACATGATGACTGCTTTCATAACGACGTCAACTTATTTAATACTTTAACTTATGAATGGAATAAGTTAATACCAAATTGTGATATTGTAATGAAGAGAGCTGGTGGTGGTATGGTGTGTATGGAGTCTATGGATACAGAATATCTCCTAGTAATTGGAGGAGAGGGCTCTACACCCATGGCATACCAATCACAATATCAATATGATCAGTTGGCTAATGGCCGTGTTTATACTAATGAACATAATTTATTGAATTTATCAACAAGTAAGATCCAGGATAATACACTTTCATTAACTATTTGTGTAATACCAAGTACTGTTGTGTATTATGTCAATTACGACAATTCCCCTACAAGTACAGACGGTACATGTAAGTTTTAATATGTTTCTTTTTTATGGTATACTATAGTATTGTCCTCTCTTTCTTTTAGGACAGTGGATTATTCCAAATATTAGTGGACAGTGTTGTCCTCCTACTTCTGCCTTTACTCTTGCAAAGATCAGTAACAATAAATCTGTCTTGTTTGGTGGATCAGTGACTAATGATGAAGGATATGATGTACCTGTTAATAATGTCTATACATGTACATGTCAACTTGAATCTGATGCTACAATAGTAAGTTACTGTAATAATAAATTAGTATACATGCATACAATGTACTACACAAGATTGTGAGGAATTAATATTGGTGATTAATGATTCTGTGATCAACGTAAATTCACAGTATTAAACTATGTGCACTGCACAGTCTGCAATGTCATTGTTGTTGTACTAGTAATCATTGAACTCTAATTAATTCCTTTGGCCATTAACTTCCAGTTTATTGTTATTGTCTTTATAGCACTGGGAGAGTGTAAAGGGACCAGCAGTACCTGCTAGTGTACAGTGGCCTGTGGGGAGACGTTCTCATGCTATTACTAGTATCATCAGTGACTCACCTACACTAGTAATGATAGGTGGACAGGATCAGAATGGTCAACTAGTAAATGATAGTTGGTTACTGAATACTAGTCAGTACCAGTGGAATAAGGTATGTAATGTCACTGCTGATGTCAACCTCAGTTATATCATATCAACAGATTGTTCTACCTGAACCTGTTACTGGTAGACAAGCTCATTCCTTATCATCAATAATGATGAGTCCAGACTGTGTGTGGTTGGTGGTAGTGGGTGGGGCTGGAGCAACTGAATGGAAAGATGTAGGACGAGGAGTAAAAGAACCATGGAGTACATATATCACTGATCCTAATATCACAATGTTAATAAAACTAGGTAATAACTGGACTATTATGATAAATATAATATCATTACTTTATGCATTTGAAATATTGTATTAATTGATATGCCATTATGCTTATACAGTAGATGCCAATTAAAGTAGTACACACACATACGTCCACTTATTTAATTACATGTATTTATAGCAAACAAAATTGGTGTAGCTCTATGATTGATAAATTAATAAAATCTGCCACTTTGCTGTATTTGAAGCATGCTCAATGAGATTACAATATTACCAATGTACTTGTAAAACTCCATCAATATTACATAAAAGTGCTGCCAACTTTTTACATGTATTGTATATAAAAAATTACATTATGTTTTCTTTTTTATTTCTTGTCTATCCTTTTTTTATTATAAAAATTATTCTCTAATCTCTTCTTCCTTGCTTTCTACCTCTTTTATACCTTTCCTTCTTCTGACCCTCTCTCTTTCTCAGTTCTCACAGAAGGTCAATGGACAGTAAGTGAAGTACTAGATTCTACTGATCTTACTAAAGAGGCCTATCAACGCAACTATCAATCACTCCTTAAAACAAGACAATGGTGGCAAGATCATTGTTCTAAAGTATATCCAACAGAAAAGGAAGTACAACAGCAGCAGTACATACAAGCATTGCAACATGAGTTGAAAGTATTTGAAGTAAATAAAATCTCACTACAGGAAGCACTCCTTCAGGCTAGTCACCAAGGTATAGTCCTCTACTTTGTGTGTGCACGTGTATGTTTTATTATTTTGTGATTTGTCAATGAACTTGACATTAGAGTATATTTGTGTATCTCACACATTTAATTACTAATGAGTAGTGACACATGATATCATTGTTAAGTGTTGTTAACAGTGCATAATGTGTATTGGTTATAGGTGATGTTACTGATAATACTTACACTAACACTCCTCCTCCTCCTCCTCCTGCTAGTGTGAATGATTCCAAACTGAAGAGTTCACTACAAGAATGGATGAACATTACTGGTGAAGTCACACCATCACTGCATTACTACCTAATGATGAGATAATACATTTCATTTATATAGAAAAGATTGAAAATCTTAAAGCTAAAGTTGTTGATAGTGAAACTTATATAGCCATGCTGACAGAGGAGAAAACCTTAACTAATAGTAAAACTATCATACATGTAGTATTACTGTGTGATAATACCTTTTGTCATCTTTTGTGCAGAAGAAAATGAGAAACTTAAAGCAAAAATTGCTGATGTTGATCTGGTAATTGCTAAACTGACAAAAAAGAAATTACAACTAAAGGAAGAGTTGCAGTCAATGAAAGACACCACAACTGCTGGTAAGAGTATCAATCATTAATTATTAGTAAATACATCTCTGTTTTGTGTAGAATATAATGAGAAGCAACTAAAGGAGAGAGAGCCGGTCAAAGATATTGGTATTCAGTTTGATTATGTTATTCCTTCGATGGGTAAGAGATACATGTACACAACACAATAGGTGATGTCATTACACAATAGTAGCTTCATTAACCCACAAATATTTCATTGTATAAACAAATTGATCACTTGTGCTCACTCCCTTATCTTTTTATTTTACATTTGTGACTACAGCCCACCATCCACATTCAACTTTGGTGAAAGCAACTTTGTGGTTACTTTGATCTTATGGTAACACCGTTGCCTGAAATAGAAGTCAGTTCTATTTTAGGCAATGCACATCAAAGTAACCACAAAGTTGCTTTCAACCAAGTTGAATAGTGGATGGTGGGCTTACTATAATCATTATATCTGTTATACTGATGCACAAACCTACAGATACTTTAGAGTGTCTGAGTGACATTAACATAGCCAGTAAGAAACTGTTCCTAATACAAGGAGACAGACCTCAACTACTAAACTGGGAGAGGTATGGGCTAAGAATTGGAGTATCTGGAGGAAGCCTAACATCCACAGAAACAGCTGAGGTAGCTGTGGTAGCTCTTGTAGGAGGACAGTTTGTGTTTCCTAAGAACACGATACTTGTTAGTGCTGTGTATGCCGTCTCCATTTCCAGACCTCTCCTCAAAGCACTGAGGCTTGAGATCCAACACTGCGTTGATTTTTTGAGAGGAGTTAAAACAAAATATTTGAAATTCGCCATAGCTCCCATTAGCACAGCCAGTCTTCCTTACGAGTTCTTCATTGTTGATGGAGGTGAATTCAGTGAGGGGAAATGGTACGGATCCATTAATAGGGAGAAATTTTGTCTTGTGAGTATCGTTGGGTCCTTGACTAATGGAGGAGAGGAGGAGGAGGAACAAGAAGGAGAGGGAAATGGAGGAGACCATAATGGAGAGAATGAAAATGGAGGAGAAGATCATGAAAAGGAGGAAGGAGGAGAGGGACAGGAACAAGGAGCAGGAACTATGGAAGAGGAAGAAGAGAAAGGAAAGGAAGATGAGGAAAACGGTGATGGAGTACAAGAGAGAGAAGGAGATGAGACTGAGGAACAAAAACAAGAGACCAAAGGACAGCATACACTGCAAGGAGAGGAAGGAGAAAATGATAAAGAAAGTAAGTGAGAGTCATTTTGTCACTGTTATTTGATTACTAATTATTTTTAAAATTTTAGAATCCTCCACTGGTGTGGCAAAAGCAATAATGTATTCTGGAATAACTTATTATGAACAAGATGGAGCAGAGGATCTAATGACATTTACTGCTGCAAAGAATTTAAATGCACTCCTTGAGGTACACTAGTATAATTACTGCTTTATTATTATTTATTATCTCAATTTCAGTTTGTTCAAAATTATCACAAGGAGTCTAAAATGGGACAGAATATAACCTTTCGGATAAAAGATGATAATGAATATATTGAGCTGGTTCTTGATCATACTCCACAAGATGACCCATTTACTGGTTGGAAAATCAAACCACACATTAAACCTTCCAGAGTAAGATTATTAGTTATAACTAATCTTTTGTTATTGTATTATTATAGCTTTATAAAGAAGATATTGATAATTTTGGTGGAGTAGAGTATCCCTTGCCCCCCACTTGCTTGATTTCAGTTTACGGGTCACCTGCCCCTGGTACTGAAGCTATGCTACACTATGCTATACCAATTGAAGGTGTAGTCCATCCAGTAACAATCTTCATCCACAGATCATTAAGAAATTCTCCTCATCCTTCATCAGGTAACTAACTGAGTGTGTGCATGATATTACTTTATGTATGTAATCATCATAGCATCAGCCACTACTGCAGTACAAACTGGAGCACAAGCTAGTCCTAGTGTATCTACAGGTATTGTATTTTGTATTATTACTTGATTTTAATAATACACTCAATAGA